CCTTGTGTGCCGAACTTGTCCCTTATGATAATGCTGTCAGTGACAGCTACATGGGATCCTATCGGCTTTCAACAGAGCTGCAGCAAAACGCATGCGATCCGGCCGCCTAATCCCCAGACCCCGAACCCTGAAGATGAGACGTGCGGGTCGTCAGGATGGAGGATGTAAAGGCTTCGTTTATAGCATGTTTCATTGTCTTGTTGCGCGTGTAGATGCCGAGGGTAAAGCGTGACAACTTATGCCCCGTAAGCGATGTCGGCCACTCCAACAGCGGTAGTCATGGCCACAGCAATGATAGTCGTGGCAAATTATGGCTGCAGTACAGTATTATAGTACATTATACTTTAGTATAGTATACTATTGTATAGAATACTGTATTATGATTACAGTATATTATAGTGTTTATGTTATGAGTAGATAGTCTGCTGAGGATCCTGTCGAAGAACATCTTGGGGACCTTCTACCTGCCACAGCTGGTCTTTTGCATCAGCGAGACCTTCCTTACCCTGTTCCTTGGGCTCAGCAGTTCCACTCTGAGGTTTTACTGGTCAATATATAGCAGGGCCAATGACTGGTGTTGAGTTTTCTTGCAGTTTTGTGCTTTTGCAGGGCTGACCGGGGCCAGTGCCTTAGAAAGGATTGAGGATGGCCCGCTCGTTGCTGGGGGTGTGCTAGCAATAGGTAAAGTTAAAGTGTATCCCGGTGCCCTGAACCCCAAACTTGAGATCCTGATCGCTGGAGTCCGAACCCACAACACCGGACCTCAAGACAGCAAGGTCCAAGTGCAGCGTGCACGCAGCGGTGGGTGAGGCCTGCAAGACGCCGCTTGGCTGACTGCTTCCTCGGGCATCGGGGCTCCGGGTCGGCGTTTGGGGCCGGTGGCCTAAGGGGTGCAGGGCTCCGAGTCCAAGACCCTCTGAGGACTCATTTGGGGCAGACGGAATCTAGCCCCCAAATCCCAAATCGGAAGCCGCAAAGAATCCAGTCCTAAACCCCAACTACAGCATGCGACCCGGGAGCCGCATTCCGACACTCCAATGCACAAACGACTCCACGATCCTCAGCCCCAACATGTAGTGAGAATGAAAAGCAGCAATAGCCCAATGATAGTAGCAGTTCGCTAGCAGTGACGACAGCGGCTTAGGGTATACCGCGTAGTCCGGAAGCCAAAGATCTTGGGGGCTCCTCCTCTGCGAGGATGGGAATGCTCGGAATCGCCAACTCGAAGACCGGCCAAGAGGACCTGAGGATTTAGCGCTTGAGGGTTGAGGGTCTAACGCGCAACTGTGGGGTTTCGAGTTTAGGGTTCGGTGCTTGAGTTTTTGGGGTTGGGGTTTAGGGTCTCTTCTCTTGGATCGAGGATGGCAATGGCGAATGACGGTTTGGGGCTATGTCTTGCGTTTTTGGATAAGTCAGGAGTGATTCTCTGTGTTGCTGATGAGGATGTATTACGATTGCTGTTCTAATTGCTACTCGTAGGACTGCAACTATTGGTCGTTGCTGTTTTCCACACCAGGACTGGCACAACATCCTGGGCGGTGTGGAGCCACTGGGGCCTGCAGAGGATTGTCGTGTTTTTGAGCCTGCTACTTCTGAGAAAGCCGATGCCAGGCGGGATTGTTCCAAATTCGGGGACCCTTTGATAGGCTCTTGAAGGTTGTTAGGTTTCAGTGAGTCGGGTTAGTATATATTGGCCGTTTTGCTGTTGCCGTTGCGCTTATCCCTAGCAGTGACCAGGCACACAGAGAGTGCAGCGTTCTGCTCTTCTCTCCTTTACCTCCCGCAGGGCACGCGACCCTGAACCTTTCCTCGGCTGCTCTCGAAGCCAAGGTTTGCCAGCGACTTCACGAAAATCATTGAGACCGTTGGAGGCTCCAGCTACGAGTTCACGGGTTTGGATCGCAGAGGTTTCGCAGCTTGGGGCTCCGGGCTTGGGGTGGCCGCACAGCTCCCCGTAGTCCCGTGCAGATGCCCACCCTGCCCCGTGCAAATGCTCCTTCGGCTTCTCAAGCGGGCAGGTCGCCTTGCAACTGCCCAGGAGCCCAATTGAGGCATAAAATGCGCCAGATTCCATCTGATTCAGGAGGCAGCCCCAGTTGACATGAATCACTGCAAGCGCACTCTTGTAGGAAATGGTCTAGGAGTCTAGGCAGTGACAGCTCTTACTTGCTGACTCGGACGCTTTTCTGCAATGATGGTCACACAGACCAAATTCAATTCATTGATCGGTTTCCTCCGCATCGGCGACATTGTGGGGCTACAGAAGTTCATACCAGCGGACTTCGACTGGTCTCAGAAGGGAGGGCCGGAAGACGTGACGCTACTGCATTATGCGGTTCTGTGTTTGGGTGAAGAAAACCCCGGTGAAAAGCACCTGAAGACCATGGAGTGGATGCTGCGTTCGGGGGCAGATCCAGAGCACGAGCTTCCACAAAAACATCCCCAGTGTTACCTGATTTGGAAGAGGAAGAACAAGAGAGGCACAACGATTGAGATTCCCTATGCTGGACATTCGGCAACATCACTGGCCTTCGCTTGGCTTGAAGCTCTGGAGACCAGCGAAGAGGAATGGACCGTCGAGCGTGAATATCTGAAAAATGTTGTCTCGCTAATTGCGAGGATTCCCTCCCTGCACCGCAAGAAGGTCGCAGTCGCCGAGGGCGTCGTTGATTTATGGGAATCAGTCCTGAACATGTCTACTACGCACAATGTGACCTTGGAGACTGCGGATGGTAATGTGACGGCGCACGATCACGTTCTGATGGCAGCCTCGCCTGTCCTGGAAGCCATGCTGCAGTCCGCGATGAAGCTTGGAAGTTGTATGTATGTCACATGCAGTGTATTTTCGCGGAATCTGTTCAAACTAGATGACTTGTTCTTGCTATGCTCATCAAAGTTTAGTGTTGAGGTCCGGCCCGTGGGGCGAGCCAATGGCACTCTTGCCTATGTTATGTCTATACCCAACTATTGAAAAGGTTAGTCAAGGCACTGCACCGCTAACCTCACCTTAAAGTTGAAACTTCGCCTGCGCAATGCGATTTCATTCTACTTCTCACCTACGGCCTCGAGTCAGCAGCGCTCACCACCGGCGACGACAACGGACTCGAAGCGTTCCACGTTTTACATCCCTTCTCAAGAGTTTTGCACATCAATGGTGTGCCTACTGAAACTTTTGGGGCGCAGTCTAAGATGCCATCCCGAAGTCATCGAACGGAACCGTTAGTTCTGAGCGGCTTGTGCGCAGACTAGCTCGAGATCACAATTTCGGAGAGGTGAGGCTGCCATGGCAGCCTGCAAGACATCCCTCAGCTAACGCCGGTTCTGTTTCCACACGCCTAACGGAAAGGTTCGATTAGCAGGAAGCTGCTTAGTTCAAGCTGTGGTATCCGGGCCGCTGTTTTGCTTCCATCTAGAACCAGCCAAGGAAGGAGGGCGTCCACAAGCACATCTCAGTCACAGACTCTTCGGGAACCAGCGTTGCCCTTTTCCTCGAGGTGTTGTACACCAGTTCGATGAGAGGCAGCCCCAGTCACTTGACCATGCTGGCAGCGCTGGACCTAGCACATCGCTGGCAAGTGACCACCGTCGTCCAACAGCTCGCCGATGTTCTGCTGGAGATGATCACTGTCGACAGTTTCGTGGCCATTGCCGCAGCTGCTGTGCTGAAGGGGCTCAGCTCTTTGACCCGAGCCTGCAGCGTTTTCGGTGCAAAGAGTCCCCAAGTCCAAGCCATGTTGAAGAAGGGATCGCTTCCCACCGCTGTGCGCACACTCCTCCAGCCAGATTCTGCGAAATCCTTAGAAACAGCCAAGAAGAAGCGACGCACCGTTTGACTTCGGAAGCTGGTTATCGCCGTACGAAGCTGCCGACGGCGATAAGGTAGGCTTGCCGCAGACCCGAAAGAAGCTGCGACTGGCACTGTATGAGGCTGGAGTTACGATTTGACCGCTTGGTCCAAGCCTGCTGTTCTAATTCAATCTTGTGCCGACTAATTAGCTACCGACCGCCTCGTGTGGTTGCAGTGGTTTCTGCCAGCCCCGCCAGCCGAGGCGACCTGGAACAACCCACCCCCTAACGTGAAAGCTGAAGAAATGACTCAAAGCCCTGAAGCAGAATCGGAAACCGGGCATGTTCTTTGCTTAGAGATTTGGGGGTCAGGGGTGGCCCTTGAGTATTCAAGGCTTAGGCCTGTAGTTGTTAGGTCTTAGGTCTTAGGTGCGTAATGTATTCCGGGCAGCCGGCCGCTACGACCACTGGACACCGCGACGGCAAGACACTGGGACCGGAAACAGATCAGAGGCTTCGGCGAGTTCAGCACAGCTGAACTGGAACCCGGAAACGACGGCTGCATCGAGGCGGAGTGAGAAAAAGAGCAGCTCCATCTATGATCCAAGGCTTCAAGTGGTAGACCGGCAGACGGGTCGCTGTACTGGCAGGAAGGTGAGTGCTCAATCCATCTAAGGCCATGATGCAGAGCCCTCTGCAATTAGAATCGGAGTCTTTTCGCCGGGGGGGAAGGGGGTATGCTAGATAGTGTGTTCAATTCCTCAGGCCATTAAATCATACTACCCGGTCCTGCCAGGCTTCGAGAGGCTCATTCAGTTCCTTCAGAGCACGCGGGAGTTGAAGGCCAAGGCTTTGGCCTTGGGAGAGGACGGGTTCAACATGAGAGAGCTGGGTTGATGATTTTTGAGGGTTTCGGGCTGGGGTTTAGGTTTGGGGGCTCTAGGGCTTTGGAAAGTTCATGTGTGTACTACTGAACCGGCAACCTTGTGGGGGTTGCTCCAGGGTTCCGTTTAAGCTACCTTGGTTTACCACTTACTTAAGTGCCGCAAAGGGTGTACAAATGAGAATATTGTAGCACAGCGCCATTCAACAGTCGTGCAGTGTAAGATTGAATGAAGCAGAGTTCGTCGTTCCAGCTTACATGTGGATCTTTTGACGACCTGAAACCCCAAGCATGCGCGCCAAACGGTGACAGCCTTGGCGATTACCCCGAGCCTTGAACTCTAAACCCACGTACGCAAAAGGGGGTGAAAATTCCGCGATCATAGCTCATGTTGGGCGACGGGCAGGCTTGGAATGAGATAGGGGGCAAAAAGAGGGAGCAACGAAAAGGAAAGAAGGAGGGACGAAAGGAGGGAAAGAAGGAAGGAAGGAAGGAAGGAAGGACGTCTCAGCCTTGTGGCGTGTTTGTTTAGTAGACAATTTCACAAGTCTTGTGCTCGCTGCAAAGACGGAAATCACATCACTCGGAGCATGCGGGTGTTTGCATGTGTTTGCAAACGGTCGAAATGTTGCAATTTGCATTGCTCTGAGGCTTGCCGATGTTGATAAGTGACAACATGATATTAGCTCTTCGCGGGAGAAGGATGACATCTTGCAAGTAACAGTGTAGTGCACAGATCCATTGTTGCAGGTTTGGGCGGCTCGTCCAAGGAAGAACCCACCCATCAGCAAACATAGACCCATCGCAAGAATCAAGAACCGCTCACCGGTTCAACGAAGAGCAGCTCAGCGCTTCTATACTTCATCATCTGTTGTTTCTATTCTGGGATGTCGCCTACCAAATACTGAGCTTCGACGTGTTCCCATCTTCCTTGTCATTGCTGCATAGACATAGTGGTGCAGTATCCCCCGAACCCTCAACCCGGACCACCCTGCTGACCTGCGAGGAGTTGAGTGCCATGCGCATGGAGCGGGCCTCCTATGGGCAGATGGCCAATGTCGCGAAGCACCGAGCCGCCCGGTTGCAGGGCCATGGGTTTCGCATACTACACTCCAGTTATGAGTAACACTGTGCCCCTATAGTCCCTGTAACATACTGCAAAGTATACCCCCCTCGAAACCCCAGTCTAAATTTTCAGGTCCCTCTGTTCGCTTCAGGGTTGACGTCTTCTTGGGTCTGGGGGGCCTGGAAGGGATTCAAGCTTTGGGCTCATCCCTGGGGATTAGGGAGGCAGGACGGCCTTAGACCCGAAACTCCATCATCCGGCATCTACAACACGAGTCATGCCATTCAACCACCCTATGTGCTGAACGCATGGGCATCGGCCCAACTTCAACTTTCATCCCTCGACCTCAAATATGCTGAACTTCTGAAAGCCTCGACCTCAGAACTTATAAAGCCCTAACGCCGCAAAGCCCCAAACCCTGAACGACAGATCCGCTTGCAGCAACGCCAGGGCATTCCAGCAGCTCTTTCCCAGTGCAGCAAAGCCCTGAAGCCACAAAGCCTCTCCCCCACGGCGCATGAGCTTGTAGTGGTACACTGGTATTTTTTGATATCGCCTGCATTAGCCTGCTGTCGCATACTTTCAAGCAGAAAGGGTCATTCCCCAAACCCAGAACTAAGCCTGACCAACCCCCAACCCCCGAAAACAGCACAAATTTCGCCAGTAAGGTCAGGCCCCTCTGAACAACGAACTCATCAGTAGGCACATAAAACTCTTCTCCGACTCTGAGGAAAAGCGCCTGGGTGAGCTGCGCCGTTTCTTTCACGGCACCCCGGGCCTGCAAAGACCACTCTCATAGACTCTCAGGGAGACTTTTTTTTTGGATCTTGCAGGTTTGAGACGAATTTTCTGGGGTTTCAGAAGTCTTTGTTTAGGGTTCAACAGCTTGTCTTTTGAATAAGGGCTTTTGTAGCGACCCTGTATCGACTACGCCAGTTCTTGGGTTGGTATTTGCAGTATAGGCAGTGCAGCTTTTGCATGGTGGTTACATTGTTACATCAGCCCTACTAAATTAGCTGTTACATCAGCCCTACACTAATTAGAGCAGACCTTTCGTATACGGGTCTTGCGCGGAAGCTAAGCTCAGTCCTCGTCTGTTCCGAGGCGACCTCTCCCCCGAGGATCGTGCGGAGGTCATCAAGTTCCTCACCGCAGCTCGGGCTGAAGGGCCTTTTCTTAGCAATGCTTCGGTGCAACAGAAGGGGGTTTTAGGGTGTTAGGGTTTGAGGGTTTTTGTGTGTTTGGGGTGTAAGTTTAGGGTGTAGGGTTTGTAGTGCCGCAGCCATTCCGATCGTTCACTGCAAGGCGATCGTCTGAAAATTCACTTGACGGAGATGCACGGCAGACAGAGCACTGGTACTGCACAGCAACGGGTATGTTATGGCAGCGAGACTTCTAGACCAGGGGGAACCCTAACGTAACATGTAGTGCAGACAAAAGTAATAATTCCAGCGGGCTGCAGTTGCAACTACAAACTACAACATGTGCATGCAATGTGCTTATGAGGTTTGCATGTATGCATGTGCGTAGATTTTCCTACTGTCTAGAAGAGCGTTTGCCGGTCGGCTGTTTTGCCAGAAAGCCGGAAAATTGCAACTGGTATCTCGCATCAGCAGTTTAGGGTGCAGCGTTCCCATACAAGCCTTGGTAAACGCCGAACCCTGAGCCTAGCAAGCCCCACACTCCGGCCCCGGTGTTAAAGGTCATCAACACGGAGATTATCGCGGCGAAGGCCATGTTCCTGGCGTATTCCGATCCCTTTGAGAAGTACCGGGCATTGCTTTTTGAGACGCTCGGCCTTGGTGGAAGGCAATCGCATTGTGGGGTCGTCATCGGCGTAGCTGCAGTATCAGCAGTATCAGCAGCGGCAGCAGCAGTAGCAGCAGCATGTGTCTGAGCCGCAGCAACAGCAGCAGTGGGAGCAGCAAACAGTAGAGTTTATTGTATTGATGATGATATGCGGGTCGCAGTGGACAGTGGAGGTTGAAGCAGCGGCACCACAGTGCCTCCTGCACGATACTATTGCACCATCATGAGGCTCAACATGTAAACTGCTTGCACTGCAAAAGCCGGAGAACGTCGTACGTGTATCCACCGGGTCGGTTCGAGACCAGCCTGTAGGCAATTTGTTGTCCGACAGTTGGGGTGGACACCAATAACCCCCCATTTTTGAAAAGTATATACACACACACATGCATACATACACCTACAAAGTTAACATGTATGCATGTATGCATGTATGCATGTATGCATGTATGCATGCATGCATGCATGTATGTATGTATGTATGTATGTATGTATGTATGTATGTTCGTATGTTCGTATGTTTGTGTGGTTGTGTATATATATATACACATGTATAATATACATGTACATATACATATAGATATAAAGATATAGATACAGATATGCATATAGATATAGATATAGACATAGATATACATATACATATACAGACATATACACATACACATACACAGACACATACAGATACACATACACATACACATACACATACACATACATACGTACATACATACGTACATACATACGTACATACATACGTACATACATACGTACATACATACGTGCATACATACAAACGCGTACACACATGAAAATCTGTGAGAAATTGCAGTGGCCTCTGTTTCAAGCTGTTGCTTTTCTAGCTGGACTGAGCCAATGCTTCTGCCTGACGCCCTGCTCCTGATCCTGACTTACCCCTGCCAGCCTCAGCACGTGTCTGAATCCCCTGGCTTCATGGTTTGCAGCAGGGGGGTTCCGGGATTCAGAATACCAAGGACCACCAGAACACGCAAGACTAACTGTAAGAGACACTTTCAGCCCGATTTGAGGTATGCCCACACCCTGGGCCACGGCGTGGAGGCTTGAAGGGAGCCATTGAGGGTAGGGCGCATGGGCCTGGCATTGTGCTTGTTTCCTTAGTTTGGGTCGGGTTGGACAGTCAGCTTTTTCGAGTTTGCTGGGCGCAGCAGCTGTCGCATTGAACAGACGTAGCAGAAGCGCCCTAAGCGATTGAAGCCCGAAGCCTTGTGGTTTTTAGTCTGACACAAAGCCTTGTGGTTTTGAGTTTTCCAGCGGGCGGCTTGGCTCTGTCGGGCTGGCGGTCTCTAGAGCTTGGTTATCGTTTGCAGTGTCGTCCGAAGTGGAGGATCAAAGGCACTTAAGACTTGAAAGTACTTAGCCCAAATCCCGCTCCTCCTACCTAGGCCGGACAGCTAGTTCTTATTCTTCGTGTGCAGCTTCCTTCACTCTGTTTGGGGTTTCGTGGGCTCCTTCGCTGGCTTCCCTGCGAGGCCTTCATGAACGGCCTCTACCGAAGAGCAACGGCTTGCGGCCTTGTTGCCTTGCAGCACCCCAAAGCCCTTCCGGTGCTTTCTCCATTCTCCCCACCACCGTTTCGGAATAGGGTCGTCCGCCCTCCCCTCATGGCAAAACCTGGTGTAAGAACCCCGAGGACTACTCGGAAGCTTTCCGACTGCACGGCCTGGCGCCAAGTAGCCTCAGCTCGGGCGAAAGGGAACAGTTCCAGCGGTCAAGGATGCTCTAAGCTTAGGGTTTTTTCGTTTGCTTGGGGTCGCTTTGCATTTGCAAACACTGACGGTTTTGGTTTAGATGGCAGGAATCGTCACATTCCTGGTGGTCTGCCAAGCTTCGTGCAACTCAGGAGATGACATGAACTCTGTTTAGGTTGCAAGGACAGCTACATGGATGAGGAGGGTTCTTGTTCACTGTGCAGAAGCTGGTCACGTGGAGTTGAGCAATCTTGAAGCTTCTTGCTGTGCTACTAGGTACTGCGATCTCAAGATGCTGCAAATTCTGCTCTTCTCCTCTAAATACCGATTGCATCCAGGCTCCCAGAGCCTTGAGCACTTTTGCACATCTGTGCCCTGCCAATCTTTGGAACGCAATTGCCCTGGGTCTAAAGACGCTCCAGAGCATAAAAACCTCTGCTCCGCTCCGCCCCCCCCCCCCCCCCCCNNTCTGGGCTGGTGAGATGTCCAAGCAGAAGGCTCCAAGTACTCGTTCGCTGCTACTAGAATTCGTGTTCGCCTTGTTGTGTTTAGTTAGTGTTGATCAGGAGCATCATCAGTTTTATCAGGGTCGGTATTCTGTCGCAAAGTCATGTAGCTTGTATCCATGGATTTGTATTTGTTGTCTCGTCCTGTTGTTACCTCTGTGTTTGCATGCTCACTGGCAGAATCTGCAGCAATGGTCTCTATTATTCGTCATATATAGGGCCAACTTGAACAGGAGCCCCTCCATAAAGGGAGACAAGCGGAGACAACCGCCAACAAGTGTCCATAGCCTCGACCATACCCAAGCCCCACATCAAGCAGGACTCTGCAGGAAAGCGGAGTCCACCAACCCTCCCCAGCCTGGGCATCTGAGCTCATGACCCGAGC